AAAATGCTTATAAAAAAATTGCTTTGGACGAATAAAAGAAAGTAAAAAAAAATTGGCCCATAATTCCCCAATTTCCCCTAAATTGTAGAATTATATCTATCTTCTTTATACGTTTATTCAATTTCAATATAATTTATTTGCGCAGCTTCCATATTTCTATTTTATATTTGACCACCGAGCGCTTAAGAAATTTTCCAATATCAACTTTATATCAAAGTAAAGTTCAAATTTAAAATTTTTTAAAAATAGAATGTTAAAACAGTAAAAAATCTTTTATTTTAATTCGTAAAAAATTTATGGATACATATTTCAAGATAATGATTTTTTGTAAAACATCATATCGTTATTAATTTTTAGAAGAACAGAAATTATTTTAAATTATATAATAAACTTCTGAAAAAAATTTTATTTAATTTTGAGAAAAAGTTACTTATTCTAAAGTTTACACGGAGAGAACTCTGAACCATAAAAGACAGTGTCTAATTCAGAAGGTTAAAAGAGGGGGAAGATCACGGTAAATCTTAGTGATCTCACCGAGTTTTTCCATTCACGAATCGCAAGTGGCGGTGACAGTCACCGTCAGAGAGCGCTACATCTTGTCGAAAACTAGGTTGAGTTTCCAATCATCGTCTAAAACTCTGATCACACCGTGATTTTAGGTTACAAAACAAACAAACAAGGTTCAAACTTCTCTCCGTGTAGTGTAGGTGTTCAAAAATAAAAATCAGTTTAAATAATAAAATTTGTATATTTTTCAATTCATAATTCATAAATATTATTAAAAATTTAAAGTTTCATTAAAAACAAACTCAAAATGTCTTTGTATTTTATGAAATTCCAATCATGAGTCTTTATAGCTCGGCATAAGACTTAAATAATTTTTCTCTTTCATTTTTAGCATGATTATGATCTTTTTGCAAAATGAAATCACCATTTTTTTCCACGCCACAGGCATTGCAATTTCTTTTCTTGCAATAAATGCACTCATAATAACTGTAAAAAAAGCAAGTCAGTATAGATAAAGTATTTAAATATAAAATATTCTAAATATTTAACAAATGAAAAGAAAGTTATCGTTTTAAAATACATAAACTTAATAATGAAATTTATATACATTTTATTTCTATTAATTGCTTGTTTAAAAATTTTTAGTTCACTTACATTGTATTATTCTTTTGGCTTCTGATTCTATAAATATACCCATCTTTGATGTAATATTCCATTACTTTTCTGTATGATGAATTAGTTGCTATCTTTTTATGACATGTAATAAAGAAATTCAAAATGTTGTTAATTATAGAACAATATAATTATAATATTTTAAAATTATTTACATAAGCCAAAAAATTATCATTAAATATTTGTGTAATTTAAGAAGATGTAAATTGGTGTTGACCAGAATAAAATAAGTTAGTTTTTTGGTGTAATAAATGTGTTTTTTTCTCTTGCTGGTCTAAAAATATATATTTGTTTTTAAAAAAATGACATGAGAACAACGTCTATGTCAATAACAAAGCTTTCGTCCTTCAAAGAAAGACCTCCTCAGTATGAATTATTATTTTTTTTTTTTACAATCAATGAAATCTAAAAAATAATAAATAATTATAAATGCTATTAAAAAATAACATTCGGAAAATTAAATAATGTCAAAAATACAGATCCTTTCTTTTCTCATCTAAGATAACCTAAAAAACACTACCTGTTTCAACAGTCATATTTTTTTGACTAAATAGTCAATATTAGCAACTAAATTAAAATTTAAGTTGCACGTCATAATATTGCACGTTAAATTGCACATTTTTACATTTAGTTTAAATATGATTTCAAAAACAGCATAAGATATATATTAATTGTTTTTTGACATGTTCCCTTTAAATTGTCAAAACATAATTGTGAGAACAACCTAACCTCAATATGTCAGTTTAGATTATAACTTAAGGTATCATACACAGTCAAGAGATGAAGCGAGGGAACATCACCACACTGCCATTCTACAATTACAAAGTAATTCGAGAATTCTCCAGGAGAAAGTTTCCTAAAAAAATATCACAAAAATCAATCTTTCTAAAAAATTAATAACAAAGATAATAATAACAACAATAATAATCTACAATACAATTCTAAACGTCGGTTTTTGAAATTAAATTAAAATATAATTCACTTAAGTTGTCAATATCTGTCCTGGTATTAACGGAATTCTCGAATTTAGCGATATAGTACATTTCCTTAAATAATCTTTTTCTATAATTTGATTCACTACAAATAATTTTAGCATTATCAAAATCGAAAATATGATTATTTTCATGAGAATGGGCAACCAGCGAAGATGATCTTTTATCATTTTTACAGTCTCGTTTGTGATCATTTATTCTATTTTTAAAATAATTAACAGTTTGTCCAATATAAACTTTGCCGCATTCACAAGGAATCTTATAAACCACCTGATTTTTAAGCCCAGCTGGAGTGATGTCCTTATTCTTTGAGAAGCAACCAAACGGATCCCTATTGTAATGAAAAACCACTTTGATGTTATAACTTTTAAACAATTTTAAAAAGAAAACATAAAGCTCGTTTATATACGGTAATGAGATAACACGGTTGAAAACGGTGCTCTGCGAATCGTTTATAAAGCTTGGAAGAGGAATCAGAGGTTTTGTAATTTTCTCAAATCTAAGGTTAATATACTTGTTCAAAAAGGAAACCGGAAAATCATTACTCTTAAGGATGTCAAACACAATGCTTAGGTTGTCTTTCACGAACTCAATCTCCGAAAGTTTGACTGCCCTATCAACCAGAGAATAAACAATTGAAATCTTATCCTTCATACAGATGCTAGAATTAAAATTTACGTATCTCCCCGAAAAAGTGCTCTTCCTGTACCAATTAGTTTTTAGTCTATTATTTTCTCTTATGATTAGAACATCAAGGAAATTTATGCTATTGTTATTTTCAACTTCTACTGTAAACTGAAGTTTGTGATGGTAATTATTAAAGGTTTCAACCAGTTCATTAACTTTATTTTTTGGAACGCACATAAGGATATTATCAACATATCTTCGATAGAAAACAAATTCAAAATCTAATTTATTAAGAATATCCGATTCTAGTTTCTCCATTACAAGATCAGCAATGGCACCGGATAAGGGTGAACCCATGGGCGTTCCAAAAATTTGTTTATAGAACTTCCCTTGAAAAGTGCAATACGCATTGTCGAAGCAAAATTCTAACAGTCCTAAAAAATATTTGTCATTTATATTTGTATGTTCTCTTATTTCTCTATTTAGAGAGATTGATTTTTATGATATTTTTTTAGGAAACTTTCTCCCGGAGAATTCTCGAATTACTTTGTAATTGTAGAATGGCAGTGTAGTGATGTTCCCTCGCTTCATCTCTTGACTGTGTATGATACCTTAAGTTATAATCTAAACTGACATATTGAGGTTAGGTTGTTCTCACAATTATGTTTTGACAATTTAAAAGGAACATGTCAAAAAACAATTAATATATATCTTATGCTGTTTTTGAAATCATATTTAAACTAAATGTAAAAATGTGCAATTTAACGTGCAATATTATGACGTGCAACTTAAATTTTAATGTAGTTGCTAATATTGACTATTTAGTCAAAAAAATAGGACTGTTGAAACAGGTAGTGTTTTTTAGGTTATCTTAGATGAGAAAAGAAAGGATCTGTATTTTTGACATTATTTAATTTTCCGAATGTTATTTTTTAATAGCATTTATATAATTATTTATTATTTTTTAGATTTCATTGATTGTAAAAAAAAAAAATAATAATTCATACTGAGGAGGTCTTTCTTTGAAGGACGAAAGCTTTGTTATTGACATAGACGTTGTTCTCATGTCATTTTTTTAAAAACAAATATATATTTTTAGACCAGCAAGAGAAAAAAACACATTTATTACACCAAAAAACTATTAAACATTTGTATTGAGACATTAATAGAAAATAGGAACTAGATTTAAAAAAGAATCTGAGAAAAGAATTGAAACTATATTTAGTCCAATGTCAAAATTTTGTATTTTTTTTATAAAAAGGATGAATTAAATTTTAAATTTGATTTAAATGAAAGCATAAAATATTAAATTTTCAATTTTTTAAAAAATTTAACGTTGTATTTAAATATGACAACGAACTAACGTTTGTTATGACTGTATATTAGATTTTTTATAACATTATTACTTTTTTAATTCAAACTTGAACGATATAATTTATGGATGTAAAGATTATTAAATATTACTGAGTACATTAAAAATTACATAAGCTAATAAAATATCTTTAAAAATATTTTATTATTTTTAATTATAAATTTAAGAAGTAATAAAAATATTCCTTTAAGGTATTTTTCCGACTACTACTCTTGAAGAAATTGATTTTTGATAGATTTTCTTCAAATTTGAGATACGAGAACGATCGCGCTCTGCCGCGCGCGCGTTTTTTCTCTTGCGTTTTTATTCTTTAAATTACAGTCTTTTGTTTGTTAAGGTATCAATTTGAGTGACAGTTTCTGATAATAGGAATTTTTAAATATTATTCAATTTAATAAAATAATAGCCTATGTTGTGCGTAAAACAATTTTTTATACCTTTACAATTCTAGTTCTGTTTTTATCTGTTTCTAAATGTATCATTTCTAAAGTTTATGGTTTTGATAAAAAAACAACACTTTTCTTTGCTTAAAAAAAAGCGTATATTTCAAGAATGGCACATTTTATAAAAAGTTTTGTACGATGAAGTTATAGAAAACCTTTTTATAATCAAAGTAATCTATTTGTTAATTAAATTTTGTAACATTTAAAATCTTCCATAGTAAATTTATATTTTAAAAAATAGTGATGAAAGAAAAACGTTACTAAATAAACAATTTTTAACTATTTTTCACTTAGCTAGCAAAAAAACATCTCTACTGTCAAAGAAAGCCATAAACAGAGGATATTAAATTAAAAATTTACTTTTGTTTCTTAAAATCGTTCCTACTTTTGCTATAAAAAAGAAATATAAGTGTGGTTTCTGTAAATATTATACAAAAAATGTAAGTACTCCGTCATTTCGAAGAAAATAATTTATTTCAATATATGCTTTTCTATAAGATTCATGGGATGCAAAATTTCGTTAATAATCTTGAGAAATATTATCTTTAAACTTTTTTCAAAGTTCATTTGGATGAACTGGTTGGCAGTACATTAAAAAACGTACAAATAAGTGTCTTAAATAATTATCTGAAGTTTGAACTATTATTTGAAATTAGGAAATTAAAACGTCTTTGACCAATTGATAAGAAAGAAACGTGTAAAGAAATCTTACGTGTGAATCTTATTACAAAAAAATGACATAATTTACCAATAAGAAGCGTCGAAGAAAGTCTTACGCGTAAAGACAGCCATACTGAGACACACTCCTTTTTTAAGAAAAAAAATATATAACGACTCAGACATTTTTATAGAAAAAATATTTACTTTTATTTCAATAATTCAGTGTAAACATAATTCTTGATTAGTAAATTAGGTCTTTGATTTCCTAAATATATAATTAATGATTCCCAAGATTTAACTCGTGAAAATGCAACATATACTTGCCCATGATTAAATACATTTTTACGAAGGTCTACACCAATCTTGTCAAAAGTTTGTCCTTGGCTTTTATTTATTGTTATTGCGAATGCTAATTTTATAGGAAATTGCCGTCGTTTGAAAGTAAAAGGATAAATATCCTCACAATACAGCGTAATACGATTTATAAATACAATATCTCCAACCTTATCACCTGTTAAAATACGACAACGTAGCAGATTGTTTGATAGTTCTAATACCTGCATTCGTGTTCCATTACATAAACCTTCATTAATACTAAGATTTCGAAGTAGCATGACAATACAATTGGCTCTTAATCGTAATTCATAAGGCGGGAAATTTGATGGATTTAAAGTATTCAAATACTCTGGTAAAATAGCATCATTTATACTTCCATTATCACAATTTTCGGTACTATCAACACTTGTATAAATTCGCTCACTTTTATTATCAAACAGTTCGAGTACCTTGTTGTTAATTTCATCAACATCAACATTTCGAGCAGACAATATTGCTACTTTTGCTAAATCATCGTATTTATTATTGATAATTAATTCTCCAAATATTTTATGAATGATATCACCATTTTCTACACATTGCTCTGGTGCTAGTATATTATTATCATTATCATTTAAAGTACCATTTCCAACTGATAATAAATATTCTGAAAATTCTTTTTCACCAGGTAAATTTCTCATATTTTCTGTTAATGATATCACCTTAAAATGACTCCATAATGTGCTAGATTTAATAGATAAATTAACTAATTTGCTTCTAGTAGCATTAACTTTAACAGGCAATAATTGTCTAAAATCACCACCCAAAAGCATAGTTTTTCCACTAAATGGCATATCAACATTCATAAAATCGCGTAATGTTCTATCAATTAATTCCATAGCATATCTTGGCGCCATTGGAGCTTCATCCCAAATAAAGACATCAACCTCTTTCAAAAATGTAGCTTCCTTAGATTGACTTTTAATATTTGATGTAGAATCATAGAACAATGGAACAGGCATCCCAAATGTTTTATGTACAGTTTTACCACGGGGAAGTAATATTGCGGCAATGCCTGTAAATGCCATAGTACAAACACATTTTCCTTTACTTCTTAACAAATGGTATAAAGTTGTATAAACAAAAGTTTTTCCGGATCCACCTGGTCCATCAATGTAATAACATGAAGAAGATGGTATTCTTTTATCTTGAATAACTACATTTAATACTTCATCAACAATATCCTTCTATTTGGAATTCAGTGACACATATTGCATTTCACCAATCTCTTTATGTTGTTGCAATGACATTTCGTTGTTCGCTTGATTTTCTGTTTCAATACTTATTTCATTTAACTGTATCATTTCAGGAAAATTGCTAATATTTGATCCTTCATGCAACAGAAAGTTAATTATATCATTATATGCCCTTTTATGAGCTTCATTAGATGGATAATTTTTCTGATAATCTTCAGACATAGCCTCTTTAAACTTTTCCCAAAGTTCGTTTGGATGAACTGGATGGCAATAAATTAAAATACGCACAAATAAACGTCTTAATTGTTGTGGCATCATCCATACTTCTCCTTCTGTAAAAGCACGTTCCCATTCTCTATCATCTTCAATAAGGCCTAATGCTAAACATGCACTACGAAAAATGTCATGTACAATATTGTTGACAGTTCGCAGATGATCATAACTTGTAGCGCCTTTAACTACTATTAAAAGTAATCTAAGATGAAACAGTTCTGATTGACTGGGCGAAATTGAATACATCCGTCCAATGACATTAAATGACCCTTTACGCTTCACCCATTTTAATGCATTTTCACCACGTTCTTTCTTAAAAACATAATAACATGGAATTTCTGCATATGTATATTGTCTAGCTTGTGGATCACGCCTATTTAAATCGAAATATTCTAATAACATAGTCCGTTTCTGTAAAGCTTCATTTATAGCATCATCATTTGCTTCTTCACTAATGGTTACAGTATGCCAATTAATTAAATGAACAGGTAATCGGAAAATAGAATGACTTTTACTCTGTAATGGTCTACCAAATATTCTATCACATGCTTCAACAGGACTAACATATCGAGTTTCAATAAAGTTTTTTATTTCATCATCTTCTAAAGAACTTGTATTATTACTACTATCGGTAATTACTACAGCAGCATCATGTCCCTTAAAAATATATTTATACAAATATTTTATGGATTTAATACTTGAAACTACTTCTACATTAATATGACAATTAAATAACTGAAGTAATGTAGGATTGTATGGAATAACGTATTGATTATCTGTAGTTCCTCCATTTAGGCGATCGTATTGTCCTGTATTAAGGCAGCGATACGTTGGGTATCCGTTTTCATCCATTATTGTCTCAGAACAGAATTGTTTTGGGTAACCTTTCAAACATTTACTATTATTATCTTTACAACAATTTCCACATGGGCCATGAATCAAATTTTTCATAACGATGTCATGAAGTATAACATTTTCTGATTGACTTGGAATTTCTGTCGAAATATATTTGTCTACAATCTCGGGTGTTGTTATTTTATAATTTTGTTTCAAAGTCACTAATAAATGCATATGCGGCAATCCACGTTTTTGATATTCAATGACATACACATAAGCAATCACTTCGCCAAATAATTGTTCCTTTACAATAGTATTAATAAGTTTATCTTTTTTCATGGTAAAAACACGCGATACAATATCTGGTCTGTCAAAGGCAGTTTGGTTAGGTAATAAATTTTCCTTAATTTTACGCCAGTTTGGATTACACGTCATCGTAATAAAAAGATCAGGTTTACCAAATTTTCTCACAATAGCCATTGCATCTTGGTAATGCTGTAACATATTTCTCGGAGAACCTGTGAAAGATGATGGAAGTATTACAATTTTCCCAACTTCATTGTTCGAATCGTCAGCTCTTCTTTGTAAATGATCAATTAGACCTTCGTAAGTATCTGCACGAAGTTTCTTTTGATTATTTCGACAGAAATTTGTCCTACCTTTTTAATTTTCACATAACTGTCGACAATCCATTGCTGAAATAATCTACCACCCTTTAAAAATACATTGTTGTCCCTAGAAGCCATTCTATGCCTGATGTATGCAGCTCTTGATACACGTTTATTTGTATTAGCGCAGGTCAGATTTTTGTCCCAACCTCTTGTTCCATGTGGATAAAATAAAGGATATATCCATGGCTCAACATTGGGATTCATAGAACTTATATATTGTAAAGCTTTTTGTATTCTTATTATATACGGTAACATATGATTCTGGAATATCACCATCAGCAGTTGTAGTAAAAATTGCTGCAAATTCATTGACACTTTGTAAATTATAACGTCTACTATCCATCCCAGGCTTTAATGAAAATAATAATTGCATCTCAGGCTAAATTTCTGCATTATTTTCAGTCATTGTTTTTTTAATTTTTTTTATGCATCATACGGTAGGACTGTGCAAATAGGTCAGAGAAATTTTGATTCTGTGCAAAATCCCGTTTTTTTTGGCTATGAGTTTTTTGATAAGCTACATTTTTTTAAAGACCGGAAATATTAGTATTTGCTAAATTTGCTGTAACAGTTACATTATCTTTTGCCAAAGATGTAGTAACAGTTGTAGAGGATTTTTCTGAATTTATATTTGATTTTGACACTGTAATAATACTGTCCTTTGTTTGAAGTGATTGAGGGTTAAGAATTCTATTATTCTCTTGTTTTTTTGTCGAAACTTTCTTTGATAAGCAGCTTTCTTTTGACGTTTCATGACTTGATGTTGTTCTTCTTCCTCTAAAGAACGTATTATTGATCTTTTTTTTACTTGATTTTCATTTTTAAATTAGTATATTTTGTAACATTTCTTGAATCATTACAATCATCATTAGTTTTTGATTTTATAAATAATTCACTGTTAACTTTATGTTCACAAAGTTTTACATAAGAATGATCACGTGTAATGTTCATTTCATTACAATAACCCATCTCTATATGTGACTTTGAAATAATATCAGACTGATTTTGTTTTTGAACAGAAGTATGTTTATTTTGTCGAGAGGTGCGCTTGTAAGCAACATTTCTGTCACGAATTGACGTTTTAACTTTAGAAGTAGAAATATTTTCTTCTGCTGATGATAAAGCTGTAGATGTGCTTTGGGGTCTCGTATTTAAAGTTTGCTCTGCACTAATGAATTCATTAGAATCCAATGATTCAGAGCAAAAAATTTTATTATTTTCTCGCTTTTTTTGTCGATATTTTTTTTGATAAGCAGCTTTTTTTGACGTTTTATGATTTTATATTTTTCCTCTTCTTCAGGAAAATGAACCATAGCTCTTTTTTCTTCTTGCTTCTCAGTTATTATTAATCTTGTATCTTTCGTTCCATTGCTTGAATCAATAGAAATATTATTAACATCATTTGCTGGAATTAAAGGCAAATCTTCTAAACAACTATCAACAAAATTTTTTTTACAAACATTGATGGTTGAATTCAACGATGATAAATTATTGTCAACAATTTTATTTTCTTCATTTTGGAAACTTTTTTCTCTAGCTCGATTCCTAAGAAGACACTCCCAATTACATTCAACAGTCATAGTTCTAATATTAGTCGACCTTACTGACGGAAATTTACTTAAACGATTGTTTTTGAACATTAACATTAAATGATTTCTCATGTTATAATAATAGTAATTGACAGAGTAGGGCATAATATTAAAAAATATCGATGTTGCGAATGATATTGCATATATTCCACAAGCAAGACTATTGTTTGGTTGTTGATTAACAGTTGTGAAAACTACTGGAGGTTTAAAAGGATATAATCTACTTAAATATTTCCTTTGATCTTCATTTAAACATCCTTCATTACGACTATCATAAATATAAAGTCTCATTCCATCATAATAAGTGCAAATCCAATGACCTTTCTTGATAGGTCCACTAAAAAGTATTTGAATATGCTTTTTACCTTTTTCAATCGGACTAATAAATTCAAGCGTATAAAAATACAAAGTGCTTTGCATGCTAAAAGCAGAATTTGATTCTCTTCTCAATAATTTTTCGAATTCATCAATATGAGTATCATTTAACATTCCTCCTTCAGTAAGTATAATATTAAAATCTGTAACACTTTAATTAACAGTTCCTTCTTTGTTCGACATGATTTCTTTCAATTTATTGAAAAGATATCGCTTTCAAAAAATAGTTTTTCATAAAATTAATTAATTCAGAACACATGTAAATAATGTTACTATTGTCACATTTAACAGTAACTAAAATTTTTATCTTATCCTTTCTTATTAAAGATTATTAAGAATGTAAAGAATGTATCTTCATCTATTAATATTATTAATATTATTAAATATAAGTATATTTTTGGTAAATTTTTCTGTTTTGTATCTGTTAATCTAGTATCTGTTAATAGAGTATCTGTTAATCTAGTACCTCTTGACTAAATCTCTGTTTATCAAGTATCTGGTATCTCGTAATCACATGTTATTTTTAGTACATCTTTAATATTCATAAAGTTTTTTTCCAAAATAATAACTAACTACCAAAATGTTAAAAAACAAAATGTTAAAAAATCAATAATTAAGATTTAAAAAAACAAATATTAATCAATATTAAATAATAATTATTACCACTATAATATAATTATGTACAAACATCAGAATTTAAAAAATCAATATTCTACATTTAGAAATCAAAATAACAGACAAATGTCCTTTATTCCTTTAAACTTTAACTTTAATTAAATTAATGTATCCTTTAAACTTTAACTTTAATTAAATTAATGTATCCTTTAAACTTTAACTTTAAAACTTTAACTTTAATTAAATTAATGTATTTAACTTTAACCTTTAACTTTAATTAATAAAATTAATTAAATCCTTTAAATTAATAAATCAAATAATTCACACATTATATTTACAAACTCTTCCTAATAAATATATATACAAATAATATTAACAAAAAATTTAATTTGTATTTACATGTATTTTAATTTTAATACTTACGTACGTAACGTATGCAATGCACTTTAACTTTTTTCAAATGTACAAAAAAATTGCAACTTTTTTCAAATGTACAAAAAAACAAAACCACAAAATTCACAATCAACACTTTCAGAAAAAAATCACTCAGCAAATAACAGCCAATACTTCTTATCGAAACGATACACTTGTCACACTTTGCAAATGGCTGACAGTTGCTGACACTTGTAATATTTTGTAATTTTTCATACCAACCAAAAAAAACTATGCGTTTCACACTGAGGTGAGGTTACGTAGCGAACAAACAATTGTTTGGAAAAAAAGATGCGCGCGCAACAATTTTGAAGCGTCTAAAATGAATTATAAAATTAAATATATTTTATTATTAAAAAACTTTTCATTTATTACAAACCAAATCATAAATAAAAATTATTTTTATCTTAAACTACTTTTGGTTAACTTTTAGTTAATAAATAAATTTTAATTAATTTATTTTAATTTTAATTTTAAAAAAGAGAAAAACGAAAATTTAAAAGTGTGAGGTCACCATCATTATAAAATTCAGCCAATGAGGAACACTCATTATAAAATCAGCCAAAAATCAGCCAATGAGAAAAAAGTTCTACACTTGAAGTTAGCTGCTTTGACATCAGTAAGTAATGTTGTCTCGATTATATCCAATCAAAATAAAGGATTTTGAATTTTATCCAATCAAAATAAAGGAATAAAGGATTTTGAAAAAATAGCCAATCAAGAAAAAGTTCTACACTTGAAGTTAGTCGATCTTACGCACCTCGTTTTTAAGAAAGGACTGTTTCTTCGGGTGCCTTTTAAAAGTGGTAAAAATTTCAAAACCCTTTGCGATGCTAAATTTTTAATTATTCAAATTCAAAATTTAACTTTTACTTGCGATTATGTTAAAATAAAAAAAATGTCAATCACAATATCTCGTTTTATGACATGACAAAGGGTTTTGAAACAAAGGTTTTATCACATTTAAAGGTCAGCCGAAGAAACAATTTCTTGAAATTTGAAGAAAATCTATCGAAAACCCCAAACAAATAATCAATTAATATACAAGTAATTAAATGCTCGACTTTTAATTACATATCATAAAATACAGTATTCAAACTAACTTTAACTAAATTATAAATATGAAACGTGTATTACCTTTATGATCATGTGATTTTTCCTTTGAAAATTGCGTCGTTCACAAATAAATAGGTTTCGCCTTATTTTCGATGAACGCCGGTGAGGAGCAATATATCCGTCCAAATTGTAGACGTCTATGTTTGCGCATGGTCACACGCTCATTGTAGTAAAATGGCGCGTGACTTTGAGACGCGAAATTTAAATTTTGTTAAGTTCTACTATTTTTGTTCAACAAAATTCTTGGTTATTTCCCAGCTTTGTTCTAATTTTTCTCGTTTGTTTTTCTAATCAAATTTATATTTATTTGACATCGCACATAAATAAATCTACAACAGTCTTCCAAAATTTTTATTAGAGTTTTTATGAATAATTAAATTCTCTTGACGAGTTTCTTTAAATTTTTTGACAATAATGTTTTTTAATCAATTTAATTGAAAATTTAGAAAATAATTAAATTAAACAAAGAATTTTATCGAATCTATTTTATTATAACTATCTACTTTTTATTCTAATTTTAATATAAAAATTGTGTAACAATAGCTTTAAAACAAATGTTTTGATGTCTCCAGACGAAAAAAATTAAAACCATAGACAACTTTTCTGGATTAATAAATACAGGATAATTTAAAGAATTGTATTGAAGAAATATTAAATTTTTTTTTATTTATTCTAATGACATATTTTGTAATGGACGACACACTATTCATTTAGATTAAGAATACTTTATTATTCTAAATCAATAAATAATTGGTATAAAAAAGCTTCTTGATTAAAATTATTAAAATATATTTTATATAAAAATTAAAAAACATTGATATAAAAAACTTTATGTCATAAGAAGTATCAGAATCATAACATTATTAAAATTATTATAATTTTCTAATATTCCAAGGATTAATATACTAAGTGTAAAATGAAATTAATGAAATTGTAATATTTCGTTAGAAAAATATCAACAGATTTTGGGATTGAATTTTAATAAAAATTAAATATTTTTTAAAGGAATGAAAACTATAAAAACTTTAAATATAGTTTTAAGGATTTTTTTAACTTTTATAAAAGTATGTAGAAATTTAGAGCTGACGCTATAGAATGCTAATATTTCAAAGTTAAGTAAAGTAAAGTGATTATTTATCACCTATACAACACAATTTAAAAAAGCATCATTTAAAAAACAACATTTTCCAACTAATATCAAGTCTCCAGATTAATCTAAACACCATTTATAAATTGTAATATTTCTGCCTTCTTCTTACCCTTTTGAAAAAGTTGCTTTCAACCGATAATTTTAACGATGCACATAATTCGTTTCCTACACATAGGACATGTTGATATTCCCATTCTGTTATATGTTATTTTGCAAATGTCACAAATCTGTTTGTGCCCACACGGAATGAAAGCATGCGTTCTCTCCCTTTCTTTACAAATGCAACAATTATTTGCATCTGCTTTGTAAACAGAAAAAAGAGATAATTATTAAAACCAATTCTGTTAGAAATTACAAATAAAATAAGTCTGAGAATACTAAATTGTTATTAATTTTTGTTTATAATTATAATTATACAAAAGGTATATGTTAAAATTTAAATCCCTATCATTAGTCTAGATAACCATTCTCATAAACAATTTTCATTATAAGACAATTTTTAAATAATTATTTCTCCTATTCATTAAAGCCAAACTTTATTTACTATTAGTTGGTTTAAAAGAAAAATCCCTCATTAACTTTGAAATCTAAAGTTACAAAAGATAACCACTGGGAGCCAAAACTAATGTAAATTCTGCTGTGTCCTTTCTCTGAATTGCTCATTATACTGTTTTTAATAAATTAATCTTGAATATTTAAGCTTTACTTCAACATATAGTTTCAAAAAAAAATTGGAGGTGACATGTTTTGAGATATTTAAAAGATTATCTTTCAAAATTAATTTTTTTATAAGTTATTTTACTGTTAAAAAATTATTTTTGCCATTGTAAAGTTAACTCTCCTGAGAATGAGTTTTTACCCGAACAGTAGTTACCAAATGCATACATTTTTCACAACAATAGATTTTCCTGCAATTTGGTATACGGAGGTCTTTTGGGTCGCTGATTACGAATCTGAAGTCCGTTTTTAAAAATTCAAAATGGCGGATCCAATATAGCGGACTAATTTTCCAAAAAATGTTTAATTTTATGCAATTCGGTATATGGGGGTTTTTGGGGTCGCTGATTACGAATCTACAGTCCGTTTTTAATTTTAAATAAAAATTGAATTATTATTTAAACAATTTTTAAACAAATTATTGTTGTTATTTACCAACATTTTACAGGATGCACCTTGAAAGTTGAAAATGTTTTCTAATTATGCAATTTACTAAAATCTATATAATTAAAGATAAAGAATAAAAATTGAATTATTATTTAAACAATTTTTAAACAAATTATTGTTGTTATTTACCAACTTTTTACAGAATGCACCTTGAAAGTTGCAATTTTTCCCTTATTTTGCAATTTACTGAAATCTATATAATTACAGATAAAGAATGAAAATTGAATTATTATTTAAACAATTTTTGTTATTTACCAAATTTTTAAAGAATGCACCTTGAAAGTTGCAGTCTTTTCTAATTTTGCAATTTTCTAATCCTTATGTGATTAAAATATTACAATTTTTTAATAAAACTTATGACTGGTTTCAGTAAATATTGTCTTTAATTTATTGATTTAATTCTAAATAAAGCTAAGAAAACATAAAAAGTTGTCAAATATTTGCTATAATCTCTCTGTTTATTTGAAAATTATATGATTTTGCAATATTAAATTGTTTAAACAAATGCAACATGCATAATAACATTATTAAAATATATTAATTTTATTAACAGATAATTATATGGAAAAACTTTGATGAATTTTAATCGTTTTTGGCAAAAAAACAAACAAAAATCGTTGGTAGCGTGAAGGTTAACTATATTGTTATTTACAAACTTCGTTTATAGTGAGCCTAGAATAATACATTTTTTTCTAAATTTTGCAATTTATTGTACTTTATATAATTACTAATAAAAATATGAATAAAATTGTACGAACAATTTTTAGACAAATAATTATTAGTATTTACTAACTTTTAAAATTTTAAATAAATAATTCTTATTATTTACCAAATTTGTTTACAGCGAGTGCAAAATATTAAAAGTTATTAAAATTTTTATAAATACCGATAACAAATAGAAATTAATTTATTTAAATATTTTCTTAAACAAATTACTTTTTGTTATTTGTTTAAAAATTGTTTAATCAATAATTTTATTCCTTTTATCTATCGGTGTTCTTATAAACCTGATCTAATTATAAAATTAGGTAAAAACTGTATCATCCATGTGCATTATGTAAAAAGCTAGTAAATAACAATAATAATTTATATTAACAATTTTTTAATAATATTTTGAACTAGTTTATCTAAATATTTTATTGAAACGACCAAAATTTGAATAACTACTACAGAATTAAAGTAAACTTTTACGGAATAAAATTCTGAAAAGTTAGTTCTTGAAAATCAATAGAATTTAAATCATGCAGTTTTAGATAGAACTCCAAATGCACTTTCTAAATTTTAATCAGTGAAATTTCACTGGTAATAAAGTGGGAATTTAGCAACTGCAGATTCCAATTTAAAGAAAAATTAAACAATTATTTCAAAATTAAACAGCTATATTAGATCTGAAATTTTGAATTTTTAAAAACGAACTTCAGATTCGTAATCAGCGACCCTAAAAACCCCCATATACCGAATTGCAAAAAAATTAAATATTTTTTTGAAAATTAGTCCGCCATATTGGATCCGCCATTTTGAATTTTTAAAAATGGACTCTAGGTTCGTAATCAGCGACCCTAAAAACCCCCATATACCGAATTGCAAGAAAATACAATAACTTTTTGAAAATTTGGCCGCCATATTGGATCCGCCATTTTAAATTTTTAAAAATGAACTTCAGATTCGTAATCAGCGACCCTAAAAACCCCCATATACCGAATTGCAAGAAAATTCAATAACTTTTTGAAAATTTGGCCGCCATATTGGATCCGCCATTTTGAATTTTAAAAAATGAACTTCAGATTCGTAATCAGCAACTCTAAAAACCCCCATATACCGAATTGCAAAAAAATTAAATATTTTTTTGAAAATTAATCCGCCATATTGGATCCGCCATTTTGAATTTTTAAAAATGGACTTTAGATTCGTAATCAGCGACCCTAAAAACCTCCATATACCGAATTGCAAGAAAATTCAATAATTTTTTGAAAATTAGTCCGCCATATTGGATCCGCCATTTTGAATTTTATAATTCAAAATTCATATATGTAATCAGCGATCCGAAACACCATTATATACTTATTTATGTAAAAATCTAATCGTTTTTTTTTATTTGTCCACTTTTAGAATTAATGATTTAAGCTTATTTTTTCTAATTTTTACACTAACATTGTTCATTATTTATTATCAAATATTTTATAAATATGAACTTCTGAAGAATTGTATGACAATCTGTGAGTCTTAAGCTTTAAGTTGCAACTTAGTAAATGTATTTAGAATAATTTGTTTAAAAGTTATTAACCAAAATGTTTGGTCCTTGTGCATACGGAAACAACTTTGTTTGGACGACTATAGTCGTCTTTATGCGCAGGAGGGTTATTATTGAGAATAGCAAGAACTATAAAATCCCAAAGTTACAGAAAAATTTACTGAGAGTCAAAATTAATGTAAATCCTGCGGGGTCCTTTAAGAATTAAACTAAATTTTACAAAACTGTCACAGGTTAAATAGTTTAAAAATTTGAAAAAACAAATTCCACTCGATACATTATAATCTTTGAAATTCTTGTAAAATTTAATTAATCTCTCAAAAATCCATAAATTACCCATTATAATGTTCATAGGAGATTAAACTAGAATGTTTAAGCTGCATCAGAAGCAACATGTTTTAAAATATTTAAAAATTACTTTACAATGACTATTGTTTATAAAGGGGACGATTTTGAAATAGAATGCTCTATATCTATCAATGTTATCAATATTAATAAAGATTTATGGTGTTGTAAAAACAATTAAAACGGGCATTTTAGTACTTTTGATACAAATCAATCTAAAAAAGTTTTTAAAATTTGTAATAAGAAGATATTATTCAAAATTCGTGTAAAACTATGAAAAAAAAATTTCTGTTATTTATTTAACTTATTGATTTTTAACAAAATTCTGTAAATTACCTTCATCGTCTTCATCTGTTTCATCACTTTCAATAGGATTAACTCGAGCAACTCCATCATTTCTATTTTGTAACTGATCTACAGCCGCTAGAAAATTTCCAATTGCAAATTTAGTTTAAACTGTTATTCAAATAGTAACTGAATTTTTAAAAAAAGTCATGTTAAAAAAGTACAAATTCTTTTTATTTTAATTTTTATGAAATTTATGCACTCATTTTAATATATAGTGATAAATTATATTGACCTTCAGTTTCTTCATCCGAATCATCGATTATAATACGATTGAATTCCGCAACTCGATCATTTCTATTTTGCATGTGGTCTTCCATCACTAAAAAATTTTGATTGGAAATATTTTATTAATCTAAAGTTTAAATAGTTGTAGAATTTTCAATGAGATAAAAATATTATGTTCAAAAAGTATAAATCTTTCAACTTCAATTTGTATGAATATTATACACATATTTCAAGAAAAAGTTTTATCCTGGTTTGTATCGTTATAAATTTTTGTAAATTAAAAATTTTCACAAATCAGATATCTATAATTATAAAAAAATAACATAAATTTGCAATTAAACAAAACACTTATTTCTAAAAATTCGAATCTTTTATACAATTGAAATTACTTATGCTGAACACTTGGCACTACTGACTCAGATAGTTAAAACCGGAATTAAAACATACTAAAACTGATTATAATTTTTGATTTATGAGTTACATTCAACAATAACTGCACAAAGAAAAATTTAATTTAATTTCAGTACCTACAGTAATTATTTTCCTTTAAAAATGTTTAACTTCTCTTTATTTCAAATGACATTATTTTTATGGTTTACTTATTTAAAATCTAACAGCTTCTAATTTGTGTTGGTGAATAAATTGACTTTTAGTTCCACAAAATTAAAATTTTATGAAAAACATTTCTAGAACAAGAAGCACATAATTTTTTATATTAAGAACATAATGCTCATTAATCTTTTAAAAGCTTTTCAATACAATCAAGGCTGATTGGAAAATAATTACTTATAAATTTTCATTTCTTTATTTTTATTTTGTCGGTATAAACGTTGATAACTTTAGATAAAGTAAATAAATTTGATTTCAATTTTTCTAATTAAATTACTTAAATATTAAATAAAAATACTTTAAATTTCTATTATATTAAAGTTTAATTATTTCAATTAGGTTCTGCAAGAATTACTTTTATTGTAAATAATGTTCATCAAAATTCTTTAAATTATTATACCAACTTTTTTTGAAATTTAGAAGTAAATTTGGATATATTACAGACTTGTGAGAGCATAATTTTAATTAATTAAAATGTTTTTATGAAGATAGATTTATTAGTATGAAATTTAAAATTTAATAATTAATTATAGAGATGAAATTGTCATTTGAAATTGAATAATAATTATAAATTGAAATTGACGAAATTTTTATAAATGTGATGTTTTAATATTAAAAAATATTTCTAAAATGATTTTATATTAAGTTGTAGTTTATTATAATTCATATGTATCCATTAAAATTTGTTTTTCAGTATAAATTCGATAAAATATAAATATGAAACCTAATATCTTTTAAAGAAGAGGGTATAAGATTTTTTTTATTTACTTCCTTACAGTCATTCACTTCTATTGTACTTCATAAGGTACCTGTGAATCTGAAAACCGATTTTGTATTATGTGGGGTTGGTAAAATAAATAAAAAAGGGAATTTAAAAAAAAAAAGATAAATAAATAAATGTTATAATAAATTTAATAAACTGTCGACCTACTACCAGCCCGACCCACTAAAACCCGTAACCCTTCTTTTGGAGCCCTTTACCCTCCCTCGGAACTGTCGTAAGACTTTAGCCTTCGAGGGAGGCGCTCCAACTCTATCGCTGCTGCGACTTTGTTCTGTGTCTGCGGTTCTCCTGCGTCAATAGTTAAAAAATTTAAAACTATTTCAATATAAAAGCGGAATTAACAGAACAACAACAATAAAAAACAAAATTTTTTAAGAAGTTTAAAAAGTCAAAAGATAAAATTATAAACGGATATATAAAAAAACAAAAAATAAACGCGTATAAAATATTGAAAACAAAACTGTACAAACATGAATAAAAAACACAAACAATTAAAAAATGTATAAGGACAAATAAATCACAAAATAAATTAATAAAAAACAAATGAACAAATTAAAAGCTGTTTAAATTACGCTTTTTGGCGGCCGTCGAGATTCTTCCTCGACATAACCGAGATTATGAAGTTCTCGACTTGCCGCCAATTCTCTTCTGACTGGGTCATCAGCGATACTTTCTATGAGCCTGTGCCTCGCTTCTTTGCGGATCAGGCCCTTGCTTGGTCTTAATTCCTCATCCAAGGAACTTCTTTCTTTAGAAAAGAGAAACATTTCTTCCCTTTCCCTCGCCAAAAGATCTGCAGGCGGGACACTTGCAAGGACCTGCACAGCACTCGTAGATACCGTCTTATGTGCAGAGATGATACGCGTTGTTATCGATCTCTGCGCCGATAGTATCTTTTCACAGATGGTAACACATCTTTTGCTCCTCAGAGATGGGGCCCATGCTGCTGCTGCGTAGAGCATTTTAGCATGGGCGACACTTGCCACCAGTCTTCTTTTTTGTTCACGGGGTCCGCCAACATTTGGCATTAACCGTGAAAGATTAGCCGCACACTCGATCGCCTTATTTGACGCCGTAGCCATGTAGTGGTGGAAGTTTAACCTTCCATCCAACTCCACACCAAGGTATTTAATTTGTTTACTCCACTTGACCTCGAATCCGTCTATCACGATTCGTGGGAGCTCATAACCACGTCTGTCTGTGACCAGCAGTGCCTCGGTCTTTTCCAGGGCCATTTCAAGACCTCTGGTATCCAGCCAGCTTTTTGCTAGTCGCAGACATTCGTTCACCAATGTCCCAAGAGCCTCCTCACTCTCGGCAGTGCACACGAACAACGCGTCGTCCGCAAAGCCGATGATCACCGCACCTTCGGACAGATCCATTCGCAGAAAATCATCATAAGATACATTCCATACAAAAGGACCCACCCTCGAGCCTTGAGGAGCCCCACGCTGCATCTCTTCCCTGAGAGTGCAGGTGTCTCCCTCATATATAACCCACCTGTCGCTAAGATAATTATCCATTATCCGCAACAAGTAGGGCGGCAACTTTTTCTTTTTCATCGACTCGATGAGATCTTTCCATCTTGCGGAATTAAACGCGTTGCGTATGTCAATTGCTAACAACGCGCAGAAGCTCTTCTTTTTTCCAGGTCCCAATTTGTTTTTTCCTGCTTTGGCTATGTCCACAACTGCCTGGATGGCATCGACTGTGGACTTGCCTTTACGGAAACCAAATTGGTGATCGGATAGACGATTCTCTTCGGTCAAGTGGCTTTGCATTCTCTGCAGAACCATATCCTCTAGAAGTTTACCCATCGTATCTAGCAGGCATATAGGCCTGTACGATGAAACCTTATCTAGAGGTTTTTCACCTTTCCTTAGGAGGACTAACCTCTGTCGCTTCCAGTCGCGGAAGAACTCTCCTCTCTCAAGGCAAAGATTGAAGCATCGAAGCAGAATCTGGGGTGAAGTGTCGATTACCAGCTTTAGGATCTCGTTACTTATCCCATCGATTCCAGGCGCCTTGCCTGTTTTCAATCTTTTGCCTGCTTTTTGCAGTTCACTAAGTGTGAAGAGTTCTTCCTCTTCGACTTTGCCAAAACTCCAGTCCCTTCTAAGGTATGGCTCCGCAGGAGGAAACAAAGAACTTATTATCTTTCTGACCCAATCGGGATTGTCCAGGCCGGGGGTCTTTTGCTTCGTCACTAATTTCTTAGTTACGATTTTAAAAGCCAGACCCCATGGGTCCTTATCGACTTCCTCGATTAGGTCCTTCCAGCTACGGCGTCGCGACTTGCGGATCTCTTTCTTGAGGTCCTTTTTCGCCTTCTTGAAAGCCTCTTTCAGCAAGGGATCTCCCTTAGATCGGGTATATGTCCTTCTTGCTTTGAGGCATTCCTTTCTCAAGGAGGTTAGCTCCTCTGACCACCAGTGCAAGGATTTTCTTACGGGAGTGGCGCCTTTGCGTGGCATTGACGCATTTCAAGCGGTGACTATCATGTTCCTCACCGCTCGCACCTTCCCATCCAGACTGCTCGGCCTCTTCACCCAGCCCAAGTCCTCAATTAAAAGGGCTTCTCTTAGGGACTGGCCGAACTTTTCCTTGTCGAGTATCTTCATATTCCACGAGGAGGTTTTGCGACTAGGAGCATCCTGTCTTTTTCCTCCTCGTGTGTCTCCCATCGAGACTGAGAACTCAATGTACTGGTGGTCACTTGCAGTATATTCCTCAGAGACCCGCCAGTCGCTTATGCGGCTAAATATATTAGACGATGCGATTGTTAGATCTATAATCGATCCGATCGCACCTCGTCTAAACGTCAATGTTTTTCCCCGGTTTACAACTAATAAATGGTTCTTGGAGATCATTTCTCCAATCAGAATTTCTCTCTTGTCGAGCCTCGTCTCACCCCACTCTGGCGACTTTGCATTAAAATCGCCAGTGATGATGACATCCAGCTTGGATTCTATGAGGCTCGATTCTAGGTCTTCTATATTGGCTTCGAAGGTGGTCAGCGGGTCGTTGGGTGAGAAGTAGCAGCTATACATACGTATATTAGCCACCTCTATCCACACAAACCCGCTGCTTGTCTCCCAGAACTTGTCAACCCGCAATTCTGGGTTGCACAGCTTGATGGCGGCTCTCTTCGCCTTATCCTGATACCAAGGTGCGAGGTCGCTTCCTTGATACTGCTCACTGCAGAACAGGATATCGACCTCATTTTCCCTAGCTGTTTGCATCAGGAGCACCTGTGCATCCTTACTTGTATGCAGGTTGACTTGAAGGAGCTTTAGGGATTTGCCCTTTTAAGTTTCTCCAGTTCCTCCTTGTAAACCGGACAGGAAATTCTTCCAGGGATATGGTTGACTTCCGTTTTTCCCAAATCTGTACACGTTACTAGTTACTAGTGCCACTTTCGTACCATCAAAACGTGTCAGAAGTCGGCAAGTCACATCTAACTCGGGCTTTTGCAACTTCTGCTTTAAGACGGTTAAAACGTCCTCTTCTGAAGTTGTTTTGTCAAGTTCCCGAATTTCGAGGGTCTTTTTACTGACAAGAGCCGTAACCTCGGCCTTGTCCTGAAGAACGGAGGTAAGATTCTGAGCGAACTGAAGTTTCACCCCCCTTTTTTACCACAACGAGAACCTCCTTTTTAAGAGTTCTCCTAATTTTCACAATCTCTGTGCCAGTTTCCTCTG